AGCGGTCTCCCGTGAGGTAAAACAGCCAAAACAGTAAAGTTATTTTGCTTACACGCTGACACAGGGACTGCCAAAGATTGTCAGAGAGTAGGATGATCCACTCTCCTGTGTGTATGTATTGTCCCATAGTTGAAATTACAGCTGCGATTGCAATTACTGATGCGTAAAAGACGCATTATTTTAGCGGAATGTTACGAAAATGCGTCCCCGACACAGCTAATGTAGCTTTTGATCACTGATCTACGTGATCTACGAGTGATGTGTGTGTTCAGAGTCTGGGCTTGAAAGTGCATTACACAAAGATAGGAGGAGACGCAGATGCAGCGCTCACAAGAGCCAGCACCTGGCTGAAGAGTGCGCATTATTGATGTAATTATATTATATATTTATTATTGACATCGATAAATACATTATAATGATATGATGTATATGAATATAAGATGTTGTTTTTCTTTCTTTGTTTTCTTAGTTTTTTTGTTTTACATATCTTACAGCTGTGATACTGAAGCAATATATAGACATAGACAAACTGCTTCAGGAAGGGCATCAGGAGTACAGCGTTTTTTTCACTTGTAGTGGAATTTTGTAAAAATTATAATAGTCACAGGTTCAATTTTTTTCCCCATCAACCCCAAGACCCTAAATAACATTTCTATACAGTGTAAAACGTTAGCAATAGCATTTCATTGTGTTTTTCAAAACATTTTGGTGAAATTGAATTTCCGTTTCATTTTTTTCTTTGTCTTCATGATTCCATATTTTTTATATAATTCATATGACAGCTGTACACTATGAATATTATAAATCCACAGGTTGTACTGAAAAAAACAAAGTTTACTGCTTGACTCTGCATCACAAGATGACTATTTCATGAGCAATTTTACACAAAGAAAACCAGGCGAGGAAAGTTCCCCAAAATGAGCTTAGACCTTGAAGGGTTAAGTGCTGTGCGTACCAATCTGTAAAGTTCTTCTTTAATTGAAGGCACACAGTAGAAAGAAGGTAATTTGACCGGAGAAGTTCCCAAAACTAAATGGGAGAGAATACTAGTTTGAAAAGGTGGAAAAAAGCTCTATCCTATTGCCACAGTCTACAACATTTGAGATAGGAGCCTTTCAACGGATTGTACAATTTAGTTAAATCTTTCAAGATGACTCATGTTACTTCTGTTCTTCCCACAGACATAATTCAATCGATTGCTACATGTTATTGTTGTGTGCTGTTTTAATTTCTTCAAGTACTGCAAAAACTGAAATTTGAAATCCAACTTCCTTAATTTCAACAAAAACAAACCCTCCCCCTCTGCATGTAAATACCATTAATCTCTCTGCCACTATCTCTCCGTCTCTCTCTCTTCATTTGAGTCCATTTGGGTCGGTCCAGTCCAGAGCCGTCACACCGTGGCCTGGTCTGGACTCTGGGGGACCAAGACACCCCCGGTCCTCCCCCTCCTCTCTGGATCCTTGACCATTACCAGTCCATTACGGGCGGCGGTGGAGGGCAAGCCACAGACGCCTCCTAATGTATCCATTTCCTTCTCCATTTGGGATCCCAGCGCGTCCCGGAGAGAAGCCTGATTGGGATTGAATGTCCATTTAAACTATAGCCAGAGGAAAGAAAATACGGAAAAAAAGAAACAGGAAGTGAACGGTGAGGATTTTTGATAGAGCTCAGTTGTGGCCCAGTGCCGCTGTAGCTAAAATATTAAAGCTGCGGTACCGAACTCTAAACAGTTTGGCTCTATCACTGGTTTTTGCATGCAGTTATTTTTTTTGCCTCTGTCACATCTTGATCAGCTTTTTCAGACAGAAATGTGAAAAAGACCGGTCCACCCTCACTCAGCTCACTCAGCTCTCAGCCCAAAGCATCAAATCCCGACTCACAAGGCTCTTTCTAACACGTATGAAAAAGATATCATGTTTTGTCTGATCAATCAAAAAACACAAACAAAAACAGTGTGTAAATTACAAGATACAACAAGTATAACTACACAAAATGAATTATTATTAATATAATTAATAATGCATTTGCTTCACATGTCATTATTCATTCACTCCATACACAGTCAGTCTACTACTGTAGTCACAGCTGCCTGAGAGCAGGCTAACAGAGGCGAGACAACCAGTATCAAGCAATATGGGTGAAGTGTCTTGCCTTAGGACACAACAACAGTTTGGTACTTCACAGCCCGCTTTGCTCAAAGAAAGTGAAAAGCTTGTTTTTTTGTCTCCTTTAAAGATTCTTCTGGATAAAAATAATCATGTATAAGGTAAGCAAGGGACTATAAACGATCAATAGTGAGATTTTAGATCACAGTGATGTTGTAAACAATGTCTGGTCCAAGTCACCTGTGGACTAATTCATGCATTCCATAGAACTAAACTAGGTCTAAACCAAACCAAGCCTACTGACTGCCAGGAAGGACTACTAAAAAAATTCTAAACACCAAATCACTTTTTATTCTTAACAAATTCTTGCGAGATGTGTGTATCTTTTAAATAGTGCAGTGAATTTGAAGACTCCCGTAAGGTTGAACATTGAACCGTAATTGTTCCCAAACATCTCATTTTGAAACAGAGCGCTCCCCTTTCCCTTTGTAATCAAATCTCTGTCTCAATGTTGTTGTTTTTTTCAAACTTAAGAATCCGTCTGCGTAAAAAAAAAAGCATCTCTTTGGCTCCGAGCCAAGTGTCTGAACTCAGCGCTCAGTATTCTCAAGGTGCGCTGGAAAAAGAGGGATTTGAAATTGAGATGATTGGAGTTGGCACATCCGCGGAGGAGGGAGGAGGGGGGAGGAGGAGGGGAGGAGGGGAGGAGGGGAGGAGGGGGAGGCCACGGCACGGAACAGCAGATCACACACACACAGTGTAAAAACGATTGGCTTTTCAAGACAATATTCATTTCAACAACCAGGGATTAGGATTGCAACTAGGATTATAAACATAAATTACTACTTTCACTTTTTTCATCAATAATCAATGGATAAAATAAAATATTATGGGCCACATTATTTATCGTTTTTAAATTTTCTTAGCAAAAACCGTACATATAGCATTTTTTTATGAAGATGAAGCTGTAGAGCGTTTAAAGAGACGGTTTCTATGAGTCTCCAGATAATAGGTCAACATGAAGAACCTATTTGACCTTTTCCGAACAACCATTTAGTTATTCTTAATTAAACATGCAATGCACATGATGTCCATAATATTTACGTTCACACATGTTCAAGCAGATTATCCAATCAGAAAGCAGAATGAGTCTTATTGGGTTGCCAGTTTGTAAAAGGAAATGTAGCTGGTTTTGGCTCTTGGATCAGTAATCATTGCATAGGAGCTGAATGTAACACAGGCAGATTCTGGCAACAACAGTTTAGATTGTATTTGTAATGACTTCAGTCGACCACTCAGAGTGCATTCATAATACATGCTTTTAATCAATAGTTGTTTAGAACACAAATATTAGATTGGTATCTTTGCTCGACTGATATAACCCTGAAGTGAAGCCATCAAATATAGATTATACATTTCTCATTTCATAGGAAAAATCAGATTCACAAATATTCGGATTATTTGTTTTAAATTTCTGTTCAGTTAAATCACACCACCCAGTACATTATGTTTTGGAGTCTGAATTGAGCAGTGATCGATTACTAAGGACTACTATGATTAAAGCAAAGTGAATAACAAAACAATATATGACTTATCTTCAACAGTTTTAGAATGATTTTTAGATTTTTTGGAGGATATTATCAACTCAATACGAGCAAAGGCCCTAAAGGTCAATCAGGAGCAGTGGTGGCCGTAGTACAGCACCCAGGGACATATCTCCAGATACTGACGCTCGACTTGGTCAGGACTACTGGAATTGGAGGATTGGAGGACTAGTGTGCATGTTTTTAGTGGTATAGGGGAAACCGGAGCACTCGGAGGAAATCAATCAAGGAAATCAATCAATCAATTAAAACATAAAATAAAAAAACTAGGGCTGTCAAAATTATTGCGTTAACGCACGTTAATTAATTTTTTTCATTAATCGCGTTAAAAAAATGTACGCATTTGACGCATGCCCATGCTTCCCATAATAACACTCAGAATGCCGCGGACACATGCGTGTGTAAGATGGGGACAGAGCAGGTAGGCCCTCTGGGAATTCAAGTTTTGAAAGAATACACGCGTGACCGCGGGGCACTTGTTGTTTCCTGTATGAACTCTGCATGATGAGCTGCGGGCGCCACAGCGCTCTGGACAGCAGGTCCCACTTCCAGCGACTGTGATCACGGCGAACGGCGCTGCGTAATGGGATCATATCCAAGACCACGCACAGAACTATTACAGAACTATTCTCTAGTGTGCGTACATGTCTTTGCGTAACCGATGCACACAATATGTACAGCGCCGCTGAAGCTGGACTGCAGAGCCTCAGTCTCCTCCGTGTCTTCTCCCAAAGCGCACTCGCTAAATTAAAGCTGAGGTACCTAATTTTCCTTCCGACTACCAGTTCATGTTAGTTGTGCCAAAAAAAGTAATGGTGTGAGCAAATCAAACAGATTTAATGACATTCTGCATTTCAGACTATTTTGAAATGTCCCTCATCTGTAACAAACAATGGTTTTGGTCTGAGTCTAAACAGAAAGACAGAATGTTAATAATGTTAATTCCATTTTATATTTATTGTTATAACAAACAAATACAGTACATATGTTCACTAAGCTGTCATTTATCTTTCCATTCAAACAACAATTTACAGAAAAATATGGCATAATTTTGCCAATAGTTTGAAATGCAATTAATTACGATTAATTAATTTTTAAGCTGTAATTAACTCGATTAAAAAAATTAATCGTTTGACAGCCTTAAAAAAACACATTAAAAAAACTTTCTCCCGAGGCTGAAACTATAACTTCTCAAAGGCACCTACCACTCTAGCAGGAAAAAAGGAACAATGACTAATCAAGATGCAAAATTGACAAAAAAAAACATTATAGGAAGAATAGTACTTACAAATGTCGGTGCCTTGTAAGAGCATTCCACCGTTCTTCCTGAAGAGAGGATTCCCCGACCACAGAGGAGGACTGGGAAACACAAAAGAAAAAGTGATCACAAACATGCAATCTTTTCATTCTATTTAAACAGTGAGATTTAAGTTTCAAGTGACTAAAAGACGTTATTGATCAGCAAAGGAAATTGTATGCTCAAAGTTAAATAGGAACATTTCAACCTGTGGAACATGACTTTTATGTTTCATTTGTGTCGTGTCTGTTGTGTGTCTCGACATAAAGACGACCACGGCATTCGGTTTTCATCTTATTAGATTTAATTTTATATTTTGTTTGTGAATCAGCTCTCGCTTGGGGCCCAGAGCTGATTGGCTGAGTGGTTTTCTGTCTGAAAAAGCGGATCCAAAAATGTCACATGGACAAAAATGCACATGTGGAAACTATAGTGATTCGATTCAATTAAATTTACTTTTGTTTTGCCGTAAATCAGAACAGCAGGCGTCTTGGAGGACTTTGCAAAGTTGTTGATTCGCCAACAACATGCACCGGGGTACATCCGTGACATGTTGGTGCCATATGAACCAACTCGGGCTCTGAGGAGCACAGGGACTGGACTTCTGTTAGTGCCAAGAGTCGGAACTAGACATGGGGAGGCTGCGTTTCAGATTCATGCAGCTAGAGTCTGGAACCGTCTTCCCGAGAATGTGAGACAGGCGTCTACTCTGGCAGTTTTTATAACTGGACTGAAAACCGTTCTTTTTAGCTGTGCATACAAGTGAATGATTTTACATTTGTATTTATCTTTAATCTTTTTAATGCACTATGACTTTTTAATTTATGATTTTAATCCCATGTGTGATTTTAATGTTTTACGGTTTTTAACTACTTGTGTGATTTCATTTTTTATGTTTTTAATATATCTTGTGCTCTTAATCTGTCTTTTTATGTTTACTTAAATTCTAATGTTTGATGATTTATGCAAGATCATCAAACATATGGGTTGTGAGGCGCTTTGCGTTGCCTTGTGTAGGAAAGGCGCTCTACAAATAAATGTTGATCGATTGATTGATAAAACACAGCAAATGTAAATATATATATTCCAATCAGTCCATAGAGAACAGGATGACCTTAAAATGTTCATAAACACACATTTGATAAAACCAAACTATTGTGAGAGTGGGGATTTGTTCAATTGTTAGTGGTGTGAAAGTAAGGTCCCCCTGCTTTAAGAGGAATGTTGATGTGTCAGTATTAGGACAAAACCCTGTATCTTCGTTCTACTTTGTCTCGCAGTAGATGGAATAGTCTACCTTAAAATTTTGAATAAATAATTCACATACTTTGCCTTAAAAAGTAATAAAATCAATAAAAATAATCATAATAATAATATAAAAAAGTGAAAAAAACATTGTTCTAGCAAATGTTTAATGAGTTTGAAATCAGTAATATGTCTTTGACTTTGTTTTTTTAGATAGTTTTTGTGTTTTCAAGTAGCTAATGACTTGTAACAAGTTGCTTCAGCCAAATACATTTTTATGGTTGTAAAACGGTGAATGTAATATCTGTTCAGCCTGGTTCACACGGCAGGTTAATTAGGCCAATTTTGGACCCGATTTACCCCTAACGACAATCTTAATTAGCCAAAATAAATACATTCATTCATTCATAGTCACAAAAAGCTATGCATATAACTCCACACAACTAACTTAAGAAAACAGACACACTTTCACAGTTTTCTAAGAACATTGAGCAGAGTCTTGATGTTGAAATGAGCTTTTACAAATCGCTGCTAAAGAAACGTGGTTAAAGGCCGAGCGTCAGGGCCGGCTGCCATCACAAGCTGTCAGATATTGAAGCAAGTATTTGAGCCCATAAGCTGGCGCTCCTGATTATAGTGATTAGATTCCCGGGTGTCCCACTGTTGCCATTATTCCCTGTGATTACCTCAGAGAATTACAGCCTCGACGGCCTGCTACCACAAGGGTAATTTCTCACGACCACCCCCCTCCACCACCCCCAGCCAACCCACCAGTCCACTCTTGCCACACTGCAAAAACACTCCGGTCGGAAAGTCACACGCTGTTTTCACATGTAGCACCCCAAAAAAAAGAGACGGAGACGTGAGGAGCGGATGTGGACGGAGAGGCTGTGTGTGGAAAACTTGAGACAGCAGTAATCCTCAAGTTAAGGTACGTGAGCCATCATGCATCAATTCGGAGTCCGCTTTTGTCTTCAGTTTGCGTGATTATCCGGGTGCAAATGTGACTTGAGCATCACTGAATATTGCTGGAAATGAAACAATGCAAATCAACAAATATTCCGGGATATGTCGGCAAAAAATCCGCAATATATGCACCTGTAAAAATGGTAAAAGTGTATGATGTCTGACATTAATCTGACATTAAACGTATCTATGGAGACAAACAGCTGTCACCATTGAACAGAATCACAGGGGGATCTGTGGAGAGACTTGACAGATCACAGAATGTATGTTGTGCAATGAAGGTTTTTTTTCCAGTTGAACTCCAGGCAAATTCAGGATACATTCTAGACCAGACTCTCATTGGAAACAAGCATCCATGCACTCGCAAAGTAGATGCTTGACATTGTTAATGGTTATAACTAATGATTGAGTTTGAGTTGAGTTATTGTTTGTACTGTTGCCTAACTCTGTGTTTGTATGTTTCTATACCTGCCTTAGGACAATGAATGCAATTTAGCTTTTGTGCTAATTCCAGCATATTTATGTTGACGCTGTTTGCCGAGACATTGATTAATATGTACTGTCCTGAACTCAAACAAATGAATAAATAAGCACTCAATCTACAACTTGAAGAATATAAACAACTTTCATAGCCACAGCTGCCCTCCTCATGAATACAGATGTGACTACAGTGAGTGTATTGCCTAAGGACACAACAGTTTTCACTACAGCCACAACTCTGTCCCACTGTAACCAAGCTTCGGGTTTGGTCCTTTATAATACACTTTTCAGGACCCAGTCTGTCCCAAGGCAGCTGTGGCTATCACCACTGAGTATGGAGTAAGTGAGTTATAGAGGTTTACACAAAATGCATTCTAAGACAATCTTACAACAACAGCAAAGAAACCAAACAGGCATAATAATAATAATATAATATAATAAGGCATAATATTAATTCATTTTGTTTCAAGTGCATTTTTTCCTGTGGCAATTGACGCACTCTGTAATTATAATAATAGCTTGAAACCAGTCAGAAATGTTTTGACAGTCTAGTCAATAAATTACAGTTTCTTTGAATAAAAATTGATCTAAATATTGTGGACTCCAGTCATTTGAACAAAGAAATGCTCCTTTTTGCAGTACACATTGGAATGCAGCTCACCACCTCCTTTGTCACACGTTGAGCGTGTAAGAGCACGGCTGGTCCTGCACACACACAGACTGAGGCGTGATCATCGCTTCACTAATGAGGGCGGTAATGACTGCATCCCTCACATAGATGGAGACGTCTCCTCTACACGCGGCACGAGACAATGGACCAGCACTAAATCTATATATACAGGGATGTGGGACGAGATGGCGGGGGAAAGGGGGAGAGAGGGCTTTCCGGGTTGAGTGGTCTTTAGATGGCCATTAATCAGCGCTGCACTTTTCCCTGACACTGCTCAATTCCTTCACATTGGATTATTTCACATGACAAACGGCAACGGAGACACTGGGCTCACTAGTGTGCGCAAAGCAATCTCCCCAATTCTATTTTTTGGTATATCATAAATTCTCAGATTAAATGTAAATCGTTCATGATGTCGTCTTATGGTTAAAGGTACTGTGTGTAATTTTTACAGATGCTACAATTGTAGAAAATATGTTAACCAATAACAAATGTGACCTTTCTAAGAATATATACCTCCACCATGTTTTTGAATTGTTGTCATAGGCTTAGAATTTGACTTATAAATGTCCATGAGAGCTGGAGGACTCTACATGTCAATGCGCCATCTTGAAATACAGTGGTTGATAAGGGACAAAAAGGAGTTTGAGTGACCGATGCTAGCTAACTAACTTTCCTCCCCCCCTTCAACCCTTTTACCGCCTATACCTGTATCCCTACCTGTATGTTATGTCCACCTATATGTCTATCTGTATCCCTACCGGTATGTTCACATGTATGTATACCTGAATTTCTATGTATGTCTTTGTGTCATTGATGTTGTTTTGTATGTCCTTTTTTTTTCTGCAAATAAAAAAAAAAAAAAAAAAAAGAGAAAGGAGTTTGAGCGGGAGTTGGGGACCACTGTCAAAGACGACATACTGTCCTGTGAAGCTACTGCAGTGCCGTAAATTACAATATATGATCTCAATGATGGATGGGAGTAAAAATTACACAGTGTACCTTTAAGGCTATGGGGAGTCTGCAATTCAGATTCACGCAGCTAAAATCGGAGATGGTCTGTAAAATATGCTTCTTCTATGACAATGTTTAAAATCCAGGTTTAAAACAGCTGTGCAGACAACTGAGGGACTTTATATTCACTCTTTTTAATGTACTGTGAGAGTTTATGATTTTAATGTTGTTATCTTGTTTTGTTCTGCACTTTGAGTTGCCTTGTATGAATAGTGCTGTACAAATAAAATGACCTTGTAAGGCACGGCAAGTTTACTAAGACAATTTTTTTTTAAAGAGGCTCCTATACTGCTCATTCTCAGCTGCTTTAAATGTGTCAGGGTGTAACGTGTGTGTGTTGTGCTCTGTATTGCGGTTATACCTGTCAAACCAAACAGACCCTAAGTGCGGTTCATTCTCCATCTTCTCATACATTTTAATATTCTGTGGTCATAATACTTTCTCCACAACATCACATCCTATTCCACTCTTGCCTCAACAAGATCTATATTAAATGCACACAATTTGACTCTGGCGTATCTTGTTTTTTTCCGATTGATCTGAAATGAGAGAAAACCATCCTCATTTTAAAATCCCCAGCCAAACAACAAGTTGCCAAACATCATATTTCGAGTAGTGATTTTCAAAACGCTCCGACGGCTTCGCTTCTGCATTCCTTCATCCTATTTTATTTGTTCTAATCTCCTC